GAGCTCGAAATCTTTGGCCTCTTTGGCACCGCCCGACGCTCGAGTCACGGCCACTCGCACCGTCCTCTGTGTGCAACGCTTGCCTAGGGACAGGCACCAGCAGGCATGCAGAGGAGTTACCCCAACGCCAGTGGCACAAGCAACCTGCGCACGGTCACTGGAGGGGCGCTTGAACCACAGCGACCTGCACCCAAGTTACTCTGGATAAGCACGGCGCGAGCTTTCATGTTAAGCCGACCTCTCAGAATGGAACTCGTCACTGATTACCGCACCTCAATTAGACATAACACAAGTCTCATTGTGTACAGCAAGCCATGGGGATCGCGTGTCCATTTTACCAATTGCCAAAAACCACTGTGCATTGTTGTGGGTTAACACTTAAGCGAGTGTCCACGTTTGATTAGTAGGGTAACCGCCATTTGATTTTCTATCAGCGAGATGATGGATCGCTGATAATCGTGCAGAGCCCTGTTTGATGAGCTCTTACAAACAGTGCCCAACACGGTCGTAGGTAGTGGCAGTCACTAATTGCAGTCACTAATTGCAGGCGCGGTACGAAGAGGTGACCATGCACAGCGCAACTTGGCTTCCAGTGGCTGACGAGGCCTGACCTTCGCATGGGCGGCTGCGGATGTCACATTCCGATTAATGAGCACGGGGAAGACAGGCCACACAGGGAAGGGCTCTTCAACAAATGGAGATATAGGATTTGTTCTTGGGCTTCACTGGGATGCTTGGCTGGCTGGGGCAAAGGAGCGTTTTTAGGGGTTGGTTTTGTTTACGGCACAGATGAACTCGGAAATTTGACGAGTGCTGAAAACCAAAGATGACTTTAAAAGGTATTTCTCTCAAGACTTCTTGAACAAGTTGGTGGAATCATAGAGTACATCTTCACGTGGACTTTGAAACTGAAAACAATGTAGGGTAAATGTGCGATTAAAAACACATCAATTATAACTTGCACTTGCACACTGGCTACTTAGGCGGCAGTCTAAAAAGTCAAATGGGTTCGCTTCTCGTTCTCGTATTACTGGCATTATCGATTAAATGACTTCCTTAACTAGGTGAGATCCCATTGAGCTTCTTGTAAACGATTGTCATCGGCAGTTCAATAGAGTACACGGCCCGTGGCGACGCGTTTTGGCGATTACCTTGTACAAATTACTGGGAGGTCGTGGGAATCAAATTTGAAATGTTCCAGTGAAGGGCGCACTGACCGCTAAAAGATGTCTGGCCCCCGCAGACATCACGGTTGACTGTAAAGGAGATGTTAAAGACTCCTCTGCAGCGCATGAGAGCGCCATGCGTTGACATCACGGGACAAGCTGTACACAAGTTTGTGCACTGAGCTGTGAAGACGTCAGTTTAGGTCATTTGCATGAACAGACTACATGTACAATTACCCATGTACACTGCGGTATTAATATTCACAATTAAAAAAAATGTTAATCAGACAATGCCAAACTTAAAAACGATTTAATACACAGTAGATAACACGCGTGTTTGGGTAATGTGTAATTACCAAACATGACCACGAATGCACTACAGGGATGTACATGATGAAAGTAAAATATATTCTCATTCCATTACTATTCTATTGTGTACATGTTCTGTTCATAAATAGTAATTCGTTGTAGCCTGGTGGAAGTTTCCCCTGGCCAGATATATACTATAATCTCGGCAGAGAGAGGCAACCTCTCATGGTGTACGTGGACTAAATAGTAAACATAGCTCGGATGGTTCAGCCCACGTCACGACAAAATGCAGTCGAATGCCTCGTCGATGTTTTTACAAGGCATTTCGACCGCGGAACAGAGAGAAACCCGACGCAAAATTAGCACGCACGGGATGGCGCCACAAGTCTCAAACGCCAGCCCGGCAATTTATTCCCGGCCGCTATCCTTCAACGAGAACGGCAGCCGCTTGCGGTGCAAGAAAGCCCCAACCCCGAGTTGGATAACTTCTTGAAACTTAACGCGGGAAGTAAACGTTGCTCGGCGCGAGCCTCGACGGCACATCGGCACCGATCATGCAGTGGCAAACGATGCTCCCAAAGCCTTTGTGAGGATCCACAATACCCCTTACGTACCCAAGAAAGCTTCGCCAAGACTCAAGACTTTTCCGGGGGGGGGGAGGTGGGGGGGGGTTCCTGCATCGGAACTTTCGATAAATACTGGTTAACGGGCGTTTTGCTTCACGTGGAAGGAAATCAGAGCAACCGGAGAATACCTACACATTTGAGGGAGCGATGCTTAGCACAGCCATCTCCTCGACACTACAACACCTGCCAAGCCCTAGTGATCACCCATCCATGTGCTAACCAGGCTCAAGTCTGCTTAGCTTCCAAGATCTGAATAAATGAAGTGTATTTGCAGCAATTTGGTACAAACGCTGCATTTCATGACTGCGGTGCCTGGGAACGACAGCACGGAGCGATTGTGAACATCTCTCAACAATATGCAAATCCACTGCTGGATAAAGGCCGCCCATATGTTGGTCATAGGTACTGGATTTAACACATAGGCTTTCGCGACCAATATTATCCGCAATAGTTTTTTTTTGGTTAGATCGCGTAAATATAAATGTGTCGTTAAACCCGCCAGCACCCGACACAGCCAATCGACAAGGGTTGTCACGTAAACAGAACGTGGCAATTCGTTACTAGTTCAGCAGTGTGTTGGAGAGTAAAATCCACAACATTGTAAATTCTAAGGTACCGTAGTGTTGGACCATACTTCACCACAATAGCGAGTGCGGCTTGGTAAAGTTAGCGGGTGCCAGGACCGGTTTGGATATCGCTCGCCAAGGGCGCGTGCACCATTGCTGGGAACTGAACTTAGGTCACTGGAATTTGTAGCTCAGCGTACGAACCGCTGTGCCACCGTTCCTCCTCAACGAGCGACTTCCACGTAAGCATAGCGTATGGGAGACATGCACGCCGTCTACGTATTACAGCGGACAGACTGCGCGAAAAGAAACAAGTGACACACGTTAACGCACAGCGGGAGTCAACCTACGGAGACTGGCCCTCATCTTTGGAATGTGGAATTTCCACTGCTGACTCAGGGCTACCAATGGAGAAGAATGCCATGCAAACGCATTTCGTCAGGAAAAGACTATTGAAGACGCATATGTAAACAGTTAAATCTGTTGTACAATAGCACTTATTTTAATGTAATATCCTGAGCGACACCCTCCTGGGGGTCTTGCAATTCAGTGAGGCTTCCTTGGATAATATACTGTACAGCATGCGTATATATTTGGTACACGTCGTTGTAGATTTTGCATACATGTGCGTCTTGTAAGGGAAATAAGAGACTGCTTTGGCACTTCCACAGGGTCACAGCGAGACCCACTTGAGGCTGTAATTGCTCGTGTGTGCGCACTCACGTCCAGGGCCTGTGAACCACGGTCAAACCTGGACGCACCCGCCCTGCCCCTGGCTGGGACACACACTGAGCCCTTGCGGAGGCTCATATAGCTGAAAACGTTGGGCCCTTCTCACCGCTGTGCCTCCCTTTGCCAGCATACACCGGTTCCGTACGCTCTCCCTGACTCAAACAAAAAGCGGCAAGACAGTAACATTGGTTATCAGTGCAGTGTATTGTTTGTATCTTTGCAAAGACTGGCCAAACGTCTGTAAGTCGTAAAAACACAATATTTACGATACATGCAGAAGTCCTTGATGCAAGTATGCATGTACATACGATATCTTATGCCAACATTGAACAATGGGGTCAGCGGACAAAACCGACTGCAGAGGACATCGACAGAAGCACCAACTTCCTGCAAGAAAGCAATTGTCATTACGGTTGACTTCAAAAGTATTTACCGATGAAAAGGCTCCATGGCTTATCGTTATTAGAACAAAAAATTAAACTAGCAGACAAGGTGCACTGGTTTTTTTTTGCAGCAGCAGAGGTTTACCAAGGTTTGAGACAGACATTTTTTTTAGATTGCATTCGTGCTTTTTGAGTTAGCCCTTGGTTCTAAAACGGCACAATTATTTTTCAGAACCAGAAATCAATGACACCAGTGTGAGCAATGTGGTACTGGTTTAGCATAAACACACTGGGCTTCATCAACAGTCAGGCTTAGGTCAATCCATTTTCCCATACCTAGTTTTATATGACGAGTAGAAGAAATTGTATCGGGAATTCATTTCAAGATTAATAGCATCTTATGACGAAATCTCATACGCCATCGTCGGCCGGAAATTTGCCCGTGAGGATCCACGTTATCATTTTGTTTTTCAATTAAACCGCTATCAGCCTTGTAAATATTTGAAGACAAAATATGCCAACAATTTTGACCAGAGGAACAGGGAAAGAGAATGGAGTCGTTGGCTCCAAGCGATTTCCTGCTGAATGCACGATGCAGGAATGCAACGCGGTGATTTCATTACTGGAAATGTTTTAGCGACTGTAAATTAACGAGGGTTTAAAGTCCCTGTTACAAATGAACGGGTCACAATGAACGGCACATTAAAGTCATTAAAATTGCGTCACTTCCAATGAAATATCACTACCAGGGTATAAAAACAATTCAGTAATTTTTACGCAAGGATTTCAATATTCGTATAAAACAAATGTAATGTTTCCCTCTGGATCTTTAATCATGCGAATCACTAAAATAATTTATGATCATTTTCCAATTCAAAATCACTTCTGCTCGCCATGATTTATCTTCATCCGAGACAAATATAAAAACTTGCGATCAAGTCAAGGTTTCTTTTCTTCCAAAAAGTGCCAAGGGTACAACACATTGTGTGGGTTTCACCAGTGCACGAAACACACATTCAACAACTTGAACTCAAAAGCATCGACAGTTTTAACAAGCGTTGGAAAAGAAGCTTTGGGTTAAACCACGAAAATGCTGTACAGTACTGATTATAATCTCCCCCTTTTTATTTTGCTTAGCTCACACACAGGCACGTCCAGCTTGCGTTGAAAACTGCAGAAGGTGCATGCGCCTCACACAGACCGATGACGAAAATAGGGTTTGGTGTGTATTCTTTTTTAATAAAAAATAGCAGCATATAATCAGAACTTTCTTTCCACTGCTGCCTTCTCCATGGGCCTTTCAGGATTACAAGAATCACAATAATGGACTAGATTATGAAACCACCTTTTATATACTTTTTTGTTTTTTTAAGCTTTTTTTTGTTGTTTAATGGTCACACACCTGTACGCACACAAGATCACCCCACGGTAACACAAAGGTCGGGGATGCAATGCACTCTCATCATCAATCAGCCGTACAAATTTTCCAAACGAAACAATCGAAATGAAAAAAAACAACCGCAGAAAACCACCTTCTACTTACTCAATGCAACCAAAAAGCAGTACAGCAAAATGCAACCTCTCCCAGGGGCAGTCAACAACCAGGGGGTAGGCGTTATATGCAGTCGTTGCCATCTGCACCACCAAACCAATGCCCCCCCCCCACCTCCCAAAAAAAAAAGGCCACTTGAAGCTTTGCCAAAGCAACCCGTGGTCCCTGTCAGCCGTTTTAATGCAAACGTATTTAGCACCATGGTTGTATTATATTATAACACAGTGGCAAGTCGAATCGGCGTCAATGCACGAAACGAGCCGATCGCCCCCTGCTTATTAATCGATTGCAGCCCGAGTCTGGTCCAGTTAACTGCCTAGGAGAAAACAAAATAACCCCCCTCCCTCCCCTCGTAATCATAATAACAACCCAGTAGTGCACTCCTAACTTGTGATGGGTTCAACAAAAAAATTATATTGCATCTCTTTTCATTCGTGACACAATTGGGATGTGCACCTCGCGGGGAAAAAAAATGACATCGAAATGACCGTAACCAATTGTTTTGTATCTGTTTTTTTTCCTCTAAGGACGTGGGAAATGTGTTGTGTTCACCGTTGCTTTTTGGACAGATGGGGTTAACTGTGCATTGGTACGACTGTCATAGAGCATCCACCCCATCCAAATCATAACCTACGGTCAATGAAAGCCTCGGCGTATTCGAGGTTATTTTGCATTTAAATTTAGACCATGGACTGCAATTATAATTTTTTGTGTTTTTTTAATGCAAAACTAAAAATAGTTTCAAACTTTTATGCAATATTTTCCTTTAAAATATTCCTCAATCTCTGTTGTGCTACATTCCAAATGGAAAAAGCCTCGATTGTAGACTCCATTACACATATAATTATGTATATAATCTAATGCTCTCTTTTCATCTGCAAATATTCAATTGCTCTTACATTTACAGTACAAAATTTTATTTTAGGGAAATAAAACGCTTAGTACAAGAAATGTTATATTTCTTTTTCGTCAAGTAGGAAAAACACAGTTCTTATCAACGTCTTACTTAGTATATAGCAGCTGTTACCGATGTGTGTGGCTTGCTCGACAGCGGATATAGAGACCAGAGGTGGATACACATTTTGCAATGACCTATTTTTTGTTGTATATATATTTCAACTGATTTAAATGCAGATGGATGGGTGGGTTACAGCTCTACGAGTGGTTTTCATCAAATTCGTTGCTGCTGGCTGTTGAGAGTTGTAGTTTTACCTATCAATTGAATAGTCTAAGTCTGGAACAGTTCAAGTGCCGGCATTTTTTTGTGTAATTTTTCGTTTTTTTATATTTTTTTGTTATTTCCTTAATATATTTTTTTTCTTTAATAAACTCAAGTGATGACGGATCTGCTAGGCTAAACAGTCCCGGGGCAAAGCGGGGCCTGGGAAAAGGGAAAGTATGGGTGCCTTGGGGGTGTTGGGAAGGTTAAGTAACGGGGCCTTTAGGGGGAAAAAAAGCCTCTCCACTGGGAGAGAGAGGTAGGGAGCGTGGGTTGAGGAAAAAGGCCAAAGTTGACTTCTAATTCAGCCAAATACTTATTCCAACAAGAGGTCACACGCCGGCGTCTTAGCGGAGGACAAAATTGGCTACATTTGGAGCCGCAAGGGTTACATTTGGACCTTTTGACTTCTCCGAATATGTAGCAGCAGATTGGGCCTCCTGTTCTGCAAGCGAAGGTTGAGGTGCCAAATAAGAAGCCAGCTTTCGTGCCTCGCATGAGAATAAGGTTTGGTGGCGGACTTGAGGAGCCAACTGCAGTCTTGTCCAAGGCGGCCGAATAAAAAGCCAAATTGGCCTCTCATTCGCACAAGGTGGTAACGGCAGCCTAATACGAAGCCAACTTCGGCTTCTTAGACTCGGATAAGGTGGCCGACTACAAAGCCATCTTCGGCCTCAAGGTTAAGGGCAGGGGAGGGGAAAGTGACAGTCAGAGAGAAAGTGAGAGACATTGGGAAAGTTGTAGTGGTGGTGTAAAGGGGTGTCGCGGTTGAGGAGGGCGGATATGGGACAACACATTGAGGTGGATTACAGGTGACGAGGGTAGTGAGAGAATTAGGCACACGCTCGTTGTTGCAGTGTGCTAGGGTGTTACAAGCAGGGAGACACGCACTCGTAATACAGTATTGAGAGGTTGGGTGCCATCGACGAGAGGGGTGAGAAAGTGACAACCTTAACAGAGTGAATCGGGGTGATACAAGCGGGTAGAAGAATGACACAGGCACGCGATGTTGGAAACGTGTGCTGGAGTTTAGCGTTAGCAGCATTTGATGTTGTGGCTAAAGCGAATTGCTGGGGGCAGCGAGTTGGGGAGGCGATTAGATTGTGTGGGTGAGTTTGGAGTTAAGCTGGATGGGTAGATTTCGAGTGGGGTTGGGTGAGCATTGAGTTCAAAGGGCATGGGCAGGTTTCGTTAGATGTTTTGAATTTGTCTGGAGATGGGTGGGTTTGGTTTTGTATGTATTTAGAGTGGAATGACAAGGTGGGTTTAGAATGGGAAAGAGCCCAACACACGTTTAGAGTCGAGCGGGTTTACAGTGGGGTTATGGATTTTGAGCAGGAGGTAACCTTAGACGAGTTCGTGATTTGTGGGATTATAGTGTCTGAGAGTTGGATGGAATTCTGGAGAGGTGGTGTTAAGAGTGGGAAGGAGCTGGGGGGGGGGGGTTAGTGGAAGGAAACTAGGACTTAGCACGCGGTGAGTTTCGAGTGTAGAGGAAACTTGGTGAGTGTAAGGTTGCATGAGATTAAGAGCGTGAAGGGGTTGGGTTAGGGGTTTAGCGTTAGGTGGGTTTCGAGTGGAACTAGGTAGGTTTACAGTAGGACGAGTTTAGTAGATTGCGAGTTTAATTCATTAACGATAGAGCCGGTTACATCTGCTTAAGTAGGTGGAGTTGACAATCGCGAGGGTGGTGGTTGGTGGTGGTGAACTCAGAGTGGGTGTACACATCTGGGTAGCGGCTTTAAACTTCAGCGTGAACCAGGAGTGATGCTGAGGGTGGTGGTGGAGGTGGACTGAGGGCGAGGTGGTGGTGGTGGTGGAGGAGACTGAGGGCGAGGTGGTGACGGAAAGTGGGGACGAGACAATGGATGGAGGCAAGGGGGGGCACGGTCACCACCGAGTCAATCTTCCTCTCCATCATCATCGCCTGCCTCCTCCTCTTCCTCCTGGGGCAGATGCTCGGCTCTCTTCTCGCGTTGCTTGTCGTGAATTTTGCGCATCTCGTCGGCGTAGCGACTGAACGTGGCGCCGAACTTGGCCCACGCCTTCAGCGGCACCGTGATGGAGTTGCGGTAGCTCGGCTTCACCTCGCTCACACGCATGAACACGCCGTACTTGTTGGAGCCCACGTCGAAGAAGAAACGCTTGTTATCCACCGTCACGGCCGTGCCCTCGGGCAGCTCCGCTGGCTCCTCGTCCACGCCGAAGTCATCGATGAGCTTGGCGAGGGCGTCTCGGAACTCGATCATCCCCTGCGCCGGCAGCGCGATGGTCTGGCCCTGGGCACCCAGGCCGGGGCCCCGGCTCACCGTCTGGCGGACGCGCAGGAATCGGCCAGCGTTGGTTCTCCTTGAGGTCCATGTAGTACTTTCTGTTCTCCCTCACCAGGAACTCGCTCTTGAGGGCACGGCGTGGCTCGTCCGGCTGCTGCAGCTGCTGCTGCTGCTGGTGGGATTGGTGGTGGGATTGGTGGTGATGGTGGAGCGAATCGCCTCCGATACCGCCGCTGCTGCTGCTGCCGCCGCCGCCTCCTCCTCCGCTTCCACCTCCTCCTCCACTCATGCCGGAGCTGGGCCCGAGCTGCGCGTAGTGCTCGATGAAGTCGCCCAGGTAGTCTCGGAACTCGACGGCCACGGACATGGAGAGCGTGAGGCGGCTCTTGCTGCCGCCCGCGCCAACCTCGGCGATCTTGAGGAAGCGGCCCTTGGCGTTCTGCTTCACGTCCAGGTAGAAGCGCTTGTTCTGGATGTCGACGCGCTTCGACGCCAACTCCTGCGTCTCCTGCTGCTGCTGTTGCTGCTGCATCATCATCCCGCCTCCAGATGAGGACGCGGGGCCCGTGCCGGCAACAAGGCCGCCGCCACCACCACCGCCGCCCGTCGCCCCCTGCTCGCTGCCACTGTCCCTGTCCGCCATCATCATTGCCGTCTTCCCAAGCCCCTCCCCTCGCACCCCCCCCTGCCCCCCTCCCCCCTCTCGAGCCCCGCCCCTCGGACAACTCCGTGTCACTCGGCTCACGATTGGTCGGCGGCGCCGCGAGCTCGGCGGCTGGACCAATGGCCGTTGAGCTTTCAAAGGGGCGCGTGACGGTTTGGCAAAGGGGCGGAGACGAACCCCGGGGGGGGGTGGGAGGGGGGGGCTCTTTTGACCCCCCCCCCCTCCCCGCGGACACTCAACTCGCTTCAAACGACGAATCGGTGCGACGGTTAGTGCCGACGTGTGTAGACGACGCTTCCCATTGGTCGGTTGCACCGCGTTTGGGTGACGTCAGAAACGGATCACAGCCAATCGTAGCGCGCGGCTTTGAGAGCGAGGCGCCACTTTTTTTATTTTTCCTCCCCCCCCCCCCACACCGGCTAACCCCGCCCCCCTCTCTCAACCACAAGGACTCCAACAGGGGGCGGGGCGGGGCGCCTTTACATACCGCAACTCGTGATTGGTGGAGCAGGCACGCGCGGTCGTGACGTCAGGCCCCCGCAAACACGACACCCAATCACGAGAGGCGGTGTTGGAGCCGTCAACCCCCCCCTTCATAACCCACTCCCCCCCCCGTGCTTCTAGGAAGACCCGCTGCGATTGGTCCAATTAGGTTACAGTTTGACGTCACGCCGGGGGGTGGCAGAGGGGGGGTGAGTTTTGTCCAATCAGAGCGAGGCTTTTTCAACCGGAGCCGGAGAATCGAAGCGGCGAGAGGGCGGGGCATTGAAATTTGCCCCGCGGTGGATGAGGAGTAGCCCCCCCCCCACGCGTCACGTGGGTTGTTAGCGCCCCGCCCCCATTGCCCCCCCCACCCCTCCCTTTCAATATGTAAATGAGGCGTTGTGGGAAGTGCTCCGCGGGGGTCACGTGACGTCTGCTCCGGCGGGTCAGAACCTCATTTGCATACGAGACTGCAGTGACCCCCCCCCACCGTCTCCCATCTTCTCTCGCTGCAATGCACTAAACAAGGGCATTGCAATGCAAAAGCTGCATTGCAATTGCTGTACGGTGGATTTGACTTGTTCGCCCTTTCGTATGGCTGATGTAGACGCAGAGCGACAAATGGCAATTTGACATTTCGGGTGGTCTAGCCGGATGGTAACCGCGTGGGGAGCGTTTCAAGATTAATTTATTTGGTACTAGCCCTGTGAGCCATGCGGCTCTTAAGTCGGGTGCAACTGCAACAAACATTGTCCCTTGTGATGTCTCCTTCGTATTTGTGGATCGGGGCATTGCGTCGTTACTTTGTGTGTGTTGTGCGGTCTGTTCTGACACATTGGACGGACCCACGAGGTGCAATGCCTGAACGCAGCTTACAAGTCTGGCTGTCACCTGATGATGCTGGTTGCAATTACCGGCGAAACGTCGTACTCAGATTGTAAATGTCGTGGCTTTGCTCTCCAACACACACACCGGTGTTGCTGTGCTAGTAACGAATTGGCATGTTCTGTTTACGTGGCAAACCTTACGAATTGGCTGTGTGGCGGTGGCGGGTTTAACGACATTTACTCGATCTAACCCCACAAAACCTGTATTATGGAGCTTACCTACCGCTTGACTGCTTGAAAAGTTGCTTTTGTTTCTGTAATCTCTGCGACACCTTTGAATCCTGTCACAAAAAAATATCCAGCGGCATTTTCAGTTTTTAGCAACAAAAGATCATTTGAGGTCACGTCTCAGGGTAGTGCGAAAAATCGGTGGCATTGGTACACCTCGATAGGGGCCGTCCTTAAATGATGTCATGCACATAGGGGGGGGGGGTGAGAAATGTGACGTCACATCAAAATGCGCAACTTTAAATATAGACAACACGTTCTACTTAATTAAATATACTTTGTTTATAAATATTTTCTCCTACAATATCAAAGTGCAGCGGCACATTGAATACGCACTACAATGGCAATAGTTTAAAGCGATTTGAAGCATGTTTTATTTTGGGGGGGGCAGAGCTTTGTGACGTCATATTTGACGGGGGGGGTCTGACTTTTTGTCACGCCCTGTGACGATGGCGGGGGATCAAAAATCGTCAAAATCGCGTGACATCATTTATTGACGGCCCCATACGCCTTGACTTCGCCAGCCTGCACTGCATGATCAGCAGCGTGCGCGCTGAGCTGTGTTCAAATCGGTGTAGGGGGCTCTCATCCAGCAGTGGATTGAAAGGGAGGCCTGGGTCACAAGCCAACTGTGGTACACCAAAGAAAGGAGTTGTTACGTTAGCGAAGCATGCAGCAATACGAGATAAATACATGTGTAGTGGATTCAACTGAGTCGCAGACGTACTTTTTGGAGGCAACACATTTATTAACACCAACACATAACACAAAGGGGTTACTGCCCCTTTACCAGATAACCTCTGGTGGTGGACCACCAGGCTAACTACGCTAGTTACTGGGAGTAGCTACAACGGACAGGACCCTAGCTGGTGTCCTTGTCCACGTGTTGGTGACTTCTTCTCTTGGACGTAGATCGTAGATCTTCAGATGACGATAGCAACGCTGAACCCCGGTCCCTGTGTGGACCCGGTATATATTATTCTTTGGTTCTTTCGGTTAAGTCACGTCTAAAGATAAAATAATAAATTAAAATAAAAGCATATTACGACGTTTCGATTGCAACACAAGCAATCATCATCAGGCAAAAAAGAAAAAGCAACAAAAATCTAACTAGAAAACTATAGACAGACATACAAGCAGACAGACATCTAACTAGTTTTCTAGTTAGATTTTTGTTGCTTTTTCTTTTTTGCCTGATGATGATTGCTTGTGTTGCAATCGAAACGTCGTAATATGCTTTTATTTTAATTTATTATTTTATCTTTAGACGTGACTTAACCGAAAGAACCAAAGAATAATTCCTGCAGTCACGAAAGCTCCATAATTAAGACCGGTTTATATTCTGCTGGGTCGCGGCTGGCCCCACCCTTGGCCACGACCACCTTCGAGAAACCTCTTCTCGTTTCTCGATCCTTCGCGTATGATCTCACCCTGACACGTGACCACCCCCAAGCCTGTTATATTTGGTCATACATTTAATTAACTCACCCCTAATGTGATGGGCTGGAACTACTTCTATTTGGTGAGGTGTGTGATGATGTTAGCTGGTATTGATGATGTTGCTACTCGCAACTGCTTTTCCAGGTTTGCTCCTAGATGTATTGAATTTCGAGTCCCGCCTGCGGTTGCCTTGGCAGGGCCAGATCAAATGATTTCGCGGGCCTTACACGGCCCGCGGGCCGGACGTTCCCCACCCCTGGCCTAGGGTAACCTCATCCCATGGCTGACACTCTCACACTTCCTCCTGTAGGAGTCGGCACTGCACGCCACGCGTGGTGCCACTGAGCGCTATCCCAGCGCTCACCGAGCCCCCTCTAGGGCTGGTACTACACCCACCGACGGGGTGTCCGCGATGACGGTGCATCGTATGCCGTGCCTTGCTAGAGCCGGCATTGCTCGGTGACATTCACGATGTTGCTCCATACGTGATGTCCGCGATGTGAGTACATCGTACGCCGTGCCCCTCTGGGGCCGGCACCACACAGTGACAATAAAATACTTTTATAACTGACAGTTGCTTTAAAACCACTTGAGTCCTTCAAAAATACAGCCATGCATTTACTACTATAGTTACCCAAGATTGCTTGTGTTGCAATCGAAACGTCGTATGCTATTATTTAATTTATTTTTCTTTCTACGTGACTTTACCGAAACAACCAAAGCGTGTTATCCCAGAATGTCTTTGTGCAACGTACGTGACGTCACTCCACGTCGACCAGCCCCCCTCATTAATAATCATGAGCAGGTGACGTCACTCCACATCGAACAGCCCCCTTCATTAATAATCATGAGCGGGTGATGTGCATGATTACATGGGGGGGGGGCGAGGCACCTCCTCCCCCCTTCTCGGCGTCAACTTACAACCCTCACTACAAAGGCAGAACCCTCACGTCACGCGATCTCCGCAACGCTGTTGAGACATCAAAGTAAAAAGGACGTCATGATGAACAAGGGATTATAACCTTTAAAAGAAATAAGTCTGTGTCTCCGCGGCCTTACAAATTGCACACGAATGGATGCAATGAATATCATGTCGTGGTCTGTTTTTCGCTTCCAAGTTTCATATTTACTGCAATCCACCCGTCCTTGGACGGGCAAAAGGCTAGCTTAATAAATTAGCAGTTTATAACGTACTGTATACAGCCTCAGAAATGGGTATGACAAAGTGAAAAAAAAAACATCAAATGTCAGTGAAGAAGCGCTCAATATTAAATGTCAGCCAACAAAATTGTATGAATGTACAAATTAAGATTTTGATACGTTTTAAAATGAGGTACAATATAACTCAAGATCACTTGCGCCCAAATGTATACTGTGCTGGAAAATCCAATAACCCATTCAAATATGGTAAGAAATAGTTTTTAAATGTAAACAAGCTCCCAATTACATTTGCAATTTATTAACAATTAGCACAGGCAGCTAGTGGTGCCCCTTAATCTCGCTTTACGTACTTTTAATTAATAAACGTATTAAAAAAATATATATTTGGGATGACCTTGAGTATGATGATGGATGGGTGTGTTGGTTTTGGGTGGCCCACACTGAGCGTGGCTGTGCCACGTGGGGTGTGCGCTTTTACATGACACCCTATGGCCACTTTTAGAATCAGCTGATTGAAAAGGATGGAAATTCCCCAGCAATGGCCATCTGAGCCTTCAGATCGATTACCAAAGGCTGTCGCCTGCAAGCTTAAACATTCCTCTGCGAAGAAAATTAATGTCCGCGTTTTGACGACGTTTAAAAATGTGGTTTCTTCTTGGCTTCTTTGCAACTTGTCTTTTTTCAGAGCCTGGTAATTGCACGCAATAATGAACAGCTCTGTCAATCCACTGCTGATAACGAATTCCCCGTCTCGTGTTTTTCATGAGGTTGTTTGACTATACTTCACCACCTCGGTTCGCGTTAATTGAAGGTGGTGGGCAAAGGAGCAGTTGAGATATCACCAATCACTAA